CACGGTAACTCCTTGGAGAAATCATCAGAAACATAAAGTCACATACCACCGGAACATCATAAACATAAATCAATCCCTTCTTTACCAACCGAGTATCCACCACATAGGCCAGAAAACCCATACACCCATGCTGCAAACTCTGTCTTGCCATGGCGGCGGAATAGAAAGTTGATCCTGATCTAGTTACCTCGTCGTAAATAGTAAGCACTCCACCACTTAAGTCCCAAACTGTCACCAGCTGTCACTCACAATTAATCAAAGCTCCAAATCAGCTCAACCAATCCATGCCCACTATAAGACATACATCCGTCATCATTATTGGCACCAGATCAATCAAAAACTCGACACCAAAAATCTCCAAAACACAGCCACAAAAAACATCGGTAGCAAAAATCGCGTGCTCGTCGGCTATGAAAACTCTCAATGGCCAACTCAAGGCCTCACGACTAGTGCTAAAACAACGACTAAAGGATAAGACACAAAGAATCGACTCGCACCTGAGTATAATATCAATAAAGTAGACACAAAATTTACAAGAAAAGTACCTACATGAAACATAAGATAAGCATAAACAGATCAAATCAACAACATAAATAAGGAGATACATACCAACAATGACATTAGTTGGTGGATTTGGTAGTTCAAACATTGAGTTTGCCTCTTTGTTTAGAACTGAGAAGCTCCTTACTCCAGTCGACATTGAGCTGGAAGAGATTGATTTGCTACATGAAGGCCCTTTCTTAGAACCAGAGCTCGAATACATCTATAAAAGGAAGAATTCAAAAAAAAGGAGTTCTTTAGGGCTAGGCAAGAGCACTTGGTTCACACCAATGTGCTTTAAAGATTCATTTCCAAAATTGCTAAGTCCCAAACTTCCGAGCAAGTCAAGCAAGAGGTGATCAAGAAACTCAGTTGGTGGATTAAGGTTAGAAACTGGCTGCAAACATCATATCTTTTCTTCTTTAGAGATCAAGTGTGAAAGCTCATTGATTTTCAAGATCACTTAGGGGGAGATTGTTAGTTCACAACAACTGATCATTTAGCAATCCGAATTTCCAATTTTTGAGATAACTGTTTTTTCGATGAAGTGTACAGTGGTGTGATCTGAAATAATGAAGTTATTTGAGCTGATGAACTTTCCGAAGTGAAGTGAAGATTGAATGATCATAGTTTAGTACTGTTTTGTCTTGATGTAATTTGTCTTACTCTACAGTAGTGCATGTAATAGACAAAGTCCAACCACATCGATGCGCCAGGTGGTTAGTCTGCATTTAGCTTTTTGTACAATTATCTCTTTATGTGATTGGTCCTATGTTAATATAAATTGTAACTGTCAAAATTTTCAAACAAAAATTTCATTTTTAAGATTCCCAAAAACATAGTTTTTAACACCATCTCATGCTAAATAAAATTTTCAAATACATAACATCATAAAACAAAGTCAGAATATCCCATAATCCATAATATCCCTATTAGCAAACGCGTGTGTACAATCATGCCGACGCCTTCCTGTGATCTTGAGATGTACCTGAAACACATTTACATCAACATTGTAAGCACAAAGCTTAGTGAGTTCCCCAAAATACCACATACACAAATAATTAGCCTCTCATGGCTATATCACGATAAGGACCCTCCGGTCATGTGTCTTAGTGAAGACCCTCTGATCCTACATCTCGGTATGGACCTTCCGATCCTAACTCAATATATATATATATATATATATATATATATATATAATATACAAAATAATATAACAGCATAAGTCACAAAGACAGAATGCATAAAACACATATATCGGTATAAGCAAATAAGATCCTCCGGTCAATAACATGAATAAGACCCTTCGGTCAATAACACAATTGAGACCCTCCGATCACATATAAACTACTACACAAATAAATATAGTGAGAGGACTCACCTCACATAGGAAACAATAAATCTCACACCCGAACTGTCGGTCTAGACTCCACTTAAAATATGTCACATTTAACTCTAATTAATAATTAATATTAATAACCCCAAAATGCTAGACCGAACCTCTCTACTAAGTCTCAAGAGGGTAGAAAGATCATTTTGCCCCTCCCTGGCCAAAAGTCCACAAATTGATGACAACCTCAAAAGTCAATGAAAGTCAATGCCCAACGAGTACGTTGGGCGTACAACCCTCTACGTTGGGCGTACTACTGGCTAAGCATGCGGCAGGTATTCTCAACGTTATGATGTGCGTAGCTGGGAGTACACACGACGTATCACACTTTCTTTTTACACTTCACTTGGTCTTAATCTGTTAAGACAATCATTCCAACTATAGATCCGAGCTAAATAAGGCCTCTTGATATATAAAGTCGCTGACTTTAAGCCTTTGCATGGCTGGACAAGACCCAAATCCCAAAAACTCTAACTTTCTCAACACAAAAGACCATACAACTCATGCATGGAAAGATTAAGATGTCTAAGCACTCATTTTTATGGATTAGAATACTCTAACACACCTAAAAGGATAGATGAATAGCCTTGGAGCTCACCAAACTCACAAAGTTCCATACTTGGGACATAAAACCCTATAAAAAGACCCAAAATAAGAACTAGAACAAACAATGAACAAGTTTTGAACTTGATATCTCTAGAAGATGCACCAATTGAAGTAGAACTTAGATCCAAGAGCTAGAAGCACAAGTTATCCTTCATTCAAGGTTCCTTCTCCACCAAAAGCTTCACAAAAACACTCAAATTAATAAAAGTATTATGGTTCCTTCAAGGTTCCTTCTCCACCAAAAGTACAAACTTTGATTAAAGTTTAAGACTTCGGGTATGTTATTTCTATTTTTGTTGCCACTTGGTTTTTGGTTAATTAATAAAAGTATTATGGTTTTTTATTCCGTTAGCTTTAATTGTATATAAAAAAGACAAAATTGCAAAAATAGTCCCCGTGGTTGTCAAAATTCGGTGTTTTTGGTCCAAAACGAAATGTTGGTGCACCACTTGTCCAAAATTAGATATTTTTAGTGATTTTGGTCCCCATCCACTTAAAAAGACAATTATACCCTTCATATTTGTTTTTCTTATTTTTATATAAATTTTAATGATTTTAAGTAATTAAAAAAAATTAGAGAATACCCCCCCTCCCCCCCCCCCCCCACACACTCTCTCTCTCTCTCTCTCCCCCCCCCCCCCGGGTGGAAGCTTTCATCTTCTTCGCCTCTCATCTTTCTTTCTTTCTTTCAAGAAAACACATTCAATAACACCCCCACTGCCACCACCATCCTCCAGCACCACCAGATGCTACGGATATGTTCGTACATTGGGGAAGGAGCGGTGACGACTTTGTTATGCACCATAGAGCCGTTGGAAGAAAGGGACAACGGTGATGACGGAGAAGTCGACACAGGCATCACCACTTTCCAACCATCATCGTTCGTTACAACCATTCGCCACTAACCACCTTCATCTCCCTACCCTTACCTCCATATCTCCTTGGCCTTAACTCGATGAGACCTCTCCTCATATCTGAAAAACTCAAATTTGAAAAACCTCTCCTTCACCACCGTTGTTCTTACATAGATGTTTACTGAAAAACAAAGAAGAGAGATGATGGTGGCCGAAGATGGTTATTATGTGAGCATCAAACACACTGGATATTGATTTTAATATTCTTGTTTCACATCGTGTTCTTCATTTTCTAGAATCTGTCATATGTATGTTTGTTTAAATCATTTAGACCTTGATTAATGGGTTTCAATTTGTTGTCGATCTCAGTGGTACGAATTTCACTGCGTCGATTTGGTAATCAAAATGGTTTCGTTGATGATTAGATTCAGATAGATGAGATGAACTTGGTCTTGATCAAAAGGTTCGTTTTAAATGGAAAGATGGGTTGGATTTCTCGATTCTCAATTGTTGAGCCACCACATCCTCCAGTCTCATAGATGGTGATCGGAGATAGAGCAGAGAGAAAGAAGGTGGGATTTTTGGGGCTTTCCATGGCAGATCCCACAGGTGGTGTTGGTGGTCTTCTAACGGAAGGGCTATGGTTTTCCATCAGTTATGGTGGTATAATGGTCGCCGGTGAGGGTATGGATGGTAAGGGGTGACGGTGTCGGACTCAGTGGCAGTGAATGGAGGTGACAACAATGAACGCATGTAGTGGAAGTGGGATGTTATGATGACATCGGTCTCGTTTTGCAGATCTGGAAATAAAAAAATGGTTGTCCGGCAGGTGGAGGTCCAACAGATGGTGGTTCAATAGGTAGTAGGGTGACCGGTAATGGTGTTGTTGTTGTTGTTGTTGTTGTGTGTGTGTGTGTGTGGGGGGGGGGTAATGGTGATTACGAGGGGTGGGGTAGGTGTTATTTCTTTTTCTTTTAATAATAAGAAATTTTAAAGGAAATTAATAAAACAAATATAAGGGCATATCCGTCTTTTTAAGTTGGGTGTGGACCAAAACCCCACAAAAATATCAATTATAGGGAGCAAAGTTGCACAAGATATTCAAAATTGGACCAATGGTGCACCAACATTTCGTTTTGGACCAAAAATACATAAATTTGTCAACCACAAGGACCGTTTTTGCAATTTTGTCAAAAAAATCGGGACTAAGTTGGTATTAGAGGAAATTAGAAGCGCATTCGTGTAATTCAAATTGTGTTTGTTTCTTTACCTTATAAATCTTTTTAATGAGGTGTATATATGTTTTATGTTTTAGGTTGATTCTACATCATTTACATATTCAAGTCAATACCTTTTATAATATCGATCGTACTTAAGATCGAATATTTTTATTATTATTTTAAGATTTAAAATTTTATACTCGGAATAAGCAAGACAAGCCATCTATAATCTACCCGTATGATAAACATCAACTTGTGAAGAGTCGTTTGACTTTGAATTGGTCAGGTTTTGACTTATCATCATCAACTTCAAGGAAACAACCCCACTGAACCCCACCCCTTCATCAATCTGCGCATATAAAAAAAACCCCATAACGAGTGTGTTTGAGTAAACAAAACATGGAAACAAAGCTTTACAAAGCATCTTTAACAGGCGATGTACAATCACTCAATGCACTACTCCGTCAAGACCAACTCATCCTTGACAGACTCTCACTCACAGTCACCGCCTTCAATGAAACCCCCCTCCACATCGCCGCCATGCGCGGCCACCTCCATTTCGCCACCATGCTTCTGACCCAAAACCCAAAACTTTCCACGGCGTTAGACACCCAAAGACGAACCCCACTCCACCTCGCCTCCGCCAACGGCAACCTGGACATGGTGCAGGAGTTTATACGATTAGGGAGTCGAGATGTGTGTTGTTTTCATGATCAAGATGGGTTAACACCTCTTCATCTTGCAGCTTTAAACGAACATCTTGAGGTTGTTAAGGCTCTGGTTACAGCTAACCAGGATGCTGCAAAGGAGAATATTCCGGTCACCGGAGAAACAATCTTGCATATGTGTGTTAAGTATAATCGGATTGAGGCGTTGAAAGTGTTGATGGAACTATGGGATGAAGAAGAGTTGGCGAAGATGACAGATGATGGTGGAAATACTCTGTTGCATGCTGCTGCAATCAATAAACACACACAGGTTTGAAATTACTTTCATATCTTCTTGTTTTGATTTAATCTTTACCATGTTCAAAATGAGTTGTACATGTGTTCTTAATGGAATGTATCGGTTTTGTACAGATTTTAAACTATTTGCTCAAGAAACCAAGTATCAAAGCTACAGGAAACGCAGTAAACAGATTTGGATTAACGGCGTTAGATGTTTTAGATCAATGTCCACAAGATCTCAAAGCACTCGAATCTCGTCAGATTCTAATGGAAGCCGGTGTTTCAAAAGCAAATGACCTCCGACCATTCCCTAAACCACCACTACAACCACCCACCATATCATCATCACAAACTAAACGAAAAGGGTTACTCTCAAGAACATGGGGTCGATATCTGAATGACGACAAACAATGGCTGGAAAAACAACGTGGGATTCTCATAGTTGCCGCCTTAGTGGTGGCGGCGATGGCTTACCTTTCCGGTATCAACCCTCCCGGAGGGACGATTTCCGATACCCAAAATGGCCGGTATTCTCTTGGAAACGCAGTTCAAACGGAAGTAGACATGGATAATTTCAGCCAATTTGTTGCGTATAATACAGTCACCATGATTGTTCCTTTGGCGATTGTTGTTCTATTGATCAGCGGAGTTCCATTGAGAAACAAGTTCTGGATGTGGGTGCTTACGATGGGGACACTGCTGGCGGTGGTGTTCATGGTGGCGACTTATCTGCAATCGGTGGCGATCATGTCGCCGGATATGTATGTGAATTCGACGACTGTTTGGATTTGTTTGATTTGGATGCTGGTTTGTGGGGTTACGGCGTTGATTCATACTATCTTTTTCGTTGTTTGGGTGGTGATGAAGCTATCCAACTGCAAGACGCCGGAGACCCAAACGACGAGGAATCAAGATTCATTCGATATTTGATCATGTTTGATATTATGTACTTCTTGTGTATTATTGGTGGATTTTTTTTTTTAATTTTTTTTATTAAAAACAATAACGTATTTGTTACATATTGTAATCTATTGTATAAAAAGTTTTATTTATTTTTTCTTTTTTTATGTATTACCAATAAACCTATCTTCAATGTACATGCCAAGATTTGGCATTGTCAAAATCAGATCATACTACAATCGTTTTTGAGTTTGCAAAATCAAGATTGAGATCTTAAGATCCTATAAAATATAACATAATTTTAAAATATAAAATATTTCAAACATTCAATTTTGCATTTAAAAATAAAAAACTTCAAAATATTAGTTATAAATCACTACATAAAATGGTAAACGATAATTGGTAAATGGTAAACGACATAAAATGTTCAAAAAAATCATATGCAAACAAAATAAATAAATAAATAATGAAGGAAATGTACGATTAGATCGGATCCTAATCCTACGATCATACGATCCTACCGTAAATGCGATCCGTTTACAATCCGACTCGTTTTTCATATCTAAGATCGTAGGATCGTTCGAACCTATGATCAAGATTGCGATTTTGACAGTCATGATACATGTATTATTAATAGTTTTTTAAATGTATTCAGAAAATATAACTAATTTTTTACCTAAGTTCAGAAATGTTACCCTGTTTTTTTTGCACATATTTACCCAATAAATATCCGATCAACATGACATGCTACATAATAGACAAAACTATAAGAATGATCCTTATGGTTAGCTGAAAATTATCATTTTGGTTCAAAAATATTTAGACTAGTACCAAAGGTCGAGAGTTTTTATTTTGTTGTGACTTTGATCCAACTTGCTTTGAATTTTTTTATAATAACTATTCTGCTCTTACTTTTTGCTTTTTCATTTTATTTATTTATTTAAATACTTTTATAATTAAAACAAAATTAAAAAGCAAAAATAAAATTCTTTCTCTATGTGTGTATGTGTGTGTGTGGAAACATCAGCACCATGGTTTTGTCTTCATATTTTCCTCTCTTCAACTTCTTTTTCCCTTTCTAAATTCAACCTTGATAATCAGGAAAAGAGAAAGGGAAAAATTGAAAGGAATTATTTTTCAATCTCAAAATTGATATCGATTTGCTGTTGTTTAAGAACCAAGATTTGCCCCCCTTTTCCCACCTTCACACATGTCCAATAACAAAGATTATTCTACAAGAAAAATAAATAACATATGAACTAGGTCTTCTCCACCTCTGTCGGAAACCACAAGACCTCAGCCCATCATAACCGAACCTACAATTTGTGTCCATGGTGAAGGTGTGTGAAGATCTGTAATGTTCTTCGAAAGCCACCTTGCACAACCACTAGCAGATTAATCAATAGAAATGGAAAAATCCTTATCCAGGCAAGTGAAATATATCAAACCTAGTCAAACAGAAGGCGGTAGATTTGAAGAAAAGTGTATATGGATGTTAGGAGGCATTGGAGATGGTGTGTATCTCTCTCATTATCGACGAAACCCTTAGCAAAACCCTAACCTATAGTGTTGCCAACCGACAACAGCTCTACAAACCCTAGTAGAGACGAAGATTTGTGGTTTCTAGAACCACAATTGACAAACACCACTATTTCATGTCTAAAATTAGAAGGAACAAGAATGAGACACACATGATACTCATATTTGTTAATAATTAGAGAAAAGAGGAACAAAATGCCATGGTTTCAGACATCTCTGCTACTTTATGGTGAAAATTCCCATCCGAAGCCTCCAAAAATTACCCCTCTAAGATACGAAAATTATCATCATTGCTCGCAGACAACAAAAAATTCTTCATTATTGCCTCTGATTTTGGATTTGTGTAATGACCCAAAAATCAAAGGTAAAAATTTCGTTTTTAGTATAACTAAAACATTAATACCATTTAATTCAAACATTTCAAATCATAGTCAATTAAATCATCTATCAGAGTTTATCCCAAAATCATTCATTGCGGAAATCGTAGGTGTGTGCACTGCGATCAATCCGAGCTCTTCCTTTCTAAAACGATGATACCTGAAACCATAAACAAAACCTATAAGCACGAAGCTTAGTGAGTTTCCCAGAGAATACCATACACACAATCCACATATCACATATCATGTTAGCTATAAAAGCTACTTGTATCACAATTCCTGCTAGCTATAGAAGCTACATATAACACATAAGCCATACATACCAAAACCTGTAAGGATGCCGTGGGCTCCCCCCAAGGTGTTACACTATTGTGTCATGGGCTACCCCACATGGTCTTATATATAATTGCCTCGGGCTTCCCCCGGGGTCTTCCATGCAAGTATCACAAAGACAACTAGTATAACACATATCACATAAACATATCATATATCACAGAAATATCTACACATAACACAAATAAACCTATAAGGATGTCGTGGGTTCCCCCTGGGTCTTACACCATTGTGTCATGGGCTACCCCACATGGTCTTTACCTAGGAATGCCATGGACTACCCCACATGGTCTTACATCCAACGCCACGGGCTCCCCCCGGGGTCTTCCATGCAATAACACACAATCAAATAGCATATTAAATCACAGAATCACTAACACATATACCATAATCACATAATGGGTCAGCCTTGGTCCCTTAGTCCCATTGGTATGGTGAGAAGACTCACCTCCCACTGCCAAAGTCCCATAGACACAAACCCAGCTGCTGGATGACAGATTCCCAAACTGTCAATATCAAAACATCACCCAATTAATAATTGGGTTCCAACACAAAAATCATAAGTCCAAGCTTGGGGTAAACGACTGATTTACCCCTATCTTAGCTTGGTTCAACTCAAGGCCCAAATCCAAAGGCCCAAAAGTTAAACTATGAATTAAAGCCCAACATATGGCCCAATTTTCCAAATTGGGCCCAAACCTTTACATGGTATTATTCTATGGACCAACTATTTAGTCCAGTCCAAACAAGGTGGCTCGACATCTCATAATCATGAAGGTGCAATTATGGCCCAGTTTTCCAAATTGGGCCCAAACCTTCACATATATGCCTTACCTTCAAGTTCATCTAATTATTCTAGTCCATATGATTATTCTTACATGGCCCATTTATAACCCAATCATCAAGGCCCAATAAAAAGGCCCAACAATAAACCCAAGTAGGATGAGGGTTTCACATAAAATGCTGATTAGGGTTAAGTGTTTCTCACTTAACCTATTAAGGACTTAATCCATTAAGACCCACTTGGCCTTAGGTTAATTGCAGTTGGTAATTAATTAATATTTTAAGTTCATTAAATAATTTCGATGCGGTCCCGATAAATCCCAAATTAGGGTTTCATGGCATTAGAGTTTCCAACCCATATTAGCCTAATAGGCCAATAGCTAGGTCCTTTGACCAATTAGGGTTCATTAGGCCCATTATGATTTCACTAGGCCCATTAGGGTTTCAAGCATCCCAACCAAATCAACACAACAAGGCAAAACACACCGCCACCCAACACGGCGACCGCCACCACCACCCTATAGTGGTGGTTTGAGTTTCCTTTTTCATCATTCCATCACAATTACAGTTTAAAACACGCAAATCCAAAAATATCACACACTAACTAACATAATCACGCACATACTGATATAGACATACACACATAGCCACCCTTGTGGTGGCCGGTGGTGGTACACGGCGATAGCTACCATGGCTGGCGGCAATGGTGGATATCCATTCTGTTTTCTGACCATCAACACCATCTACAGCAAAACACATACACCTACATGATTTTTTATTTTCTCAAAATGACCAACCACCCCCTTAGTGGCTCACGGTGGCGGCAGCAGCACCAAGACGACAATAGCAGCGACAGTTGCGATGATAGCCACCACTGTAACCAGCCGAGCAAACAACACACACACTCGCAAACCCAAGTTAGACACCAAATTACTCCCAATCCAGCCACTGCGGATGAAAGGTGACAACCGGAAGCACCGAAACGGTGACCCAAGGCCACCGACAACTCCTGTCGATGTGAACGACACCAAATCACAGGAAGAATGAAGAGAAAGGAATAGATGGGTGGCTGCGATTCTTACTGAGAGCTTCTGATTCACACCCGACATGCATAGCGGCGAACACAACGCGTTTCACTGGAGGAGAGTAGCGACCGCTTGTTGCTAGTGTCTTTGTGTGGCACTTCGTCGTTGGTAGCAGCTTCGTCGGCGATTTGGTTGCGGTTGACTCTAGCTTCAACGATAAGGAGGTGGCGGCTAAAGGAGCTCCACTCAAAACTTTGCCCATTTTTACAAGTTCGGTCCCCCCCTCCCCTTGGGATCTTTTCAAATTAGCTCCAATATTTACCATTATGCCCCTCCTTTACAAATTGTTTTCAATGAAGTCCCAATAATTCACAAATTTGTCCCTTAGCCTCCAAAAATCTCTTGAACGGAGTCCTAAAAGTTACCATATAGCCCCTGCCCTCATAATTATTTACAAAACTAATCTGAAACTGACACTTGTAACCCCCGACTTCTAAAATTGTAACCTTGCTATATAATTATTGATTTTAGGGCTATTACACACTCATTAATTATTTTATTTATTAAATAAAAGGGGTGTTACAACTCTCCCCCACTTAAATTAGATTTCTTCCTTGAAATCATTCCTTACCGGCTCAACCATTCTAGTAACATGGTTACCATCATGGGCACACCCTAGCTTTCCCAGGGTAGTCGTGGCCAATCTTAACGGAGCCTTAAGATTTGCAGGCGAACGAATTTCTCACAACAAGATCACATCTACTACGTCTGAAATATGTTGTCTCAAGATGGTCTGAATCCCTAGCAGACCACTCATACTGAATCATTATCGTTGGACCCAGTCCACTTTATTCTTCTACTAGCTACTCAACTTCCAATAACTCAAGGTTCCCATTATAAATCTCAGTCACAAGCCCAATTACCTCTACAGATCACTTACACTCGGCTAAGGCTTAGATAATCTCACTGCGATTGACTTAGCATAACCCAAGCAATCCGTTATTTCGTCCATAC